CATGTTCCGCAAGTTGCACGCTCGAAAGTGCAAACAGCAATGACATGCAAGAGACATTGTACAGGATTATGAAGGGCGCGTGCCCACGTGACTCGCGCATGCGTGCAGGTTGGGCCAGCTTGCTGGGCTGGCTGCTAACTCGCGTTAGAATGCTAACGCTCATTTAGCATCCCCCCACCTCACAACAGAGCAACCAAGTTTTGCATTAACCCTTTACTGGTCTACCATAAGCGAATCGATACTATAGTATCGGTGTGTTTGGACCTTATTTTTTGGGGTCTTGTTGCTAGGAGACAGCTAAAATGGCGCTCTACGCGTAGCTGAGGTCCAAGGCTTTCTGACGATGTACAAAACAACCATGCTTTCCATACAAATTTTGCCGTATCGATCGACTGAAGTTTGTTAAAATTGGAAAAGATGACCATCCGCCATGCGCGCATTTCGAGAAGGCGAGTGCATCTCTTGGGGCCGTGTTTGACAAGCGGTCTGAGAGCAGTAACATCACCAGTCCAGGCTGGATCTCCCGGGAGGTTTTGCAGTGTAGTGTGTTGAGAAAAAGAGCTCCGTTGAGTCCTGCTAGTTCAAATTATATCGTCCACGAATGAAGAAACAAAATTCTCCAAACAGAGAGGAAGCCTTCTTGCTGCCGACATGGCGACAGCGACTGTCACAAGGACTCGTCAGGCACGATAAGCTGATTCGCCTGGCCGTGAGAATCACGGCATGCGTAAGCTCGCGCTTGAGAACACATCTGAGCAAGAGTGAATCTGACGCGAGCAGCGCTAGATGAACAAACCGAAACTGCGATATCGTGGAATAGGAATTGCTACTGCTGGCGTATCGCCGATGGCGAGGTGTTGGTGTTCAATGGCGGTATTGTAGAGAGCCTACATTTCTTGTAGAGACGTAGCCCTTACCTGATTGTTTATCGTACGACTTCAGCTCCATCACGAACTTGGTATGCCCTTCGTGCTGTGATATTCGTGTATTTCATTCGCAATTGTATTTTCTCTCAACTTGAAGGGCTACCATGGGCCCTATCCTTGCCTCGACCTAGTCATATTTGAATTTTCTGGACGCGTTCAGGCATACGGATTTTGAAAATATATGGTTTACCCATACCTACATGACATGGTTCTTGAGTTATTGCTGGTTGTGTGTACATGTATTTGTGTGACCACCCCTCACATACATTGAGTTAGACCGGCAAAGGGTTAAGCTGGGAGTGCCGATTCGAGCAACTGGTATAATGGCTCTGCTTGGAGCCGCTAGATTGCTCGCAGCTGAGCCAGCAAACGACTCCGCTTGGAGCAGGCGAATGACTCCGCATGGAGCCGGCAAATGACTCCGCATGGAGCCGGCAAATGACTCCGCATGGAGCCGGCGAATGACTCCGCATGGAGCCGGCAAATGACTCCGCATGGACCGGCGAATGACTCCACATGGAGGCCCCGGATTACTCTGCATGGGCCCGCCAATTACTCCGCATGGAGCCGCCGGATGACTCCGCATGGAGCCGCCAAATGACTACGCATGGAGCCGCAAATGACTCTGAGTAGAGCCGCCAAATGCTAAATATATAGAGGTGCATAACCAGTTGAGAGCATATATTCCATAAATCTGCACTCCGAGAGGTGATCTCAAAGTGCAGCTACCTGTGAAATTTGTAAGCAGTGCAAGCTAGGTAACGATTGACTAACAGAACTCTATATCATGGGCTGAGGCCATTGCCAACGCCACCCATGCTTTGGCTGCAGGTAGCGTCTGAATGTTACTCGGGCAGACATCGCTTTCCACCTTCCTGCGTCTCTGAATATCGAGTCCGGCAGCTGATTCAAAACGAGTGGCCGGTGCATAACGCCAGGCCATAGCCACAACTGATGAGCAAGTTTCTTGCAGTTGCTGTAAAGCCGATCGATTGGCATCCGCAGCTGGTGCCGCTAGCTTTCCCAGGTGCTGTCACAATTGCAAACCACTCTTTGCGATTGGCCGGTCTGCTTGATTGACTGTCCATCGCCCTATCCCCGGTCGCAATTGTTTGCGCACCGGCCAAGTGCACCACTTGCATCAGTGAATAGCAGCAAGTTGGGGGACGGCGTCCACTTAGGGTGTAGGAAGAAGGACCGGCCGTTCTACTATTCCAGGAGCTCTGGCCATCAGCGAAGATATTTGAGGCACTCTTCGGAGAGCTTGATCAGGTAATACGGCTGCCAGTACCAGTTGGCAAGTGACCACAATCTGCAATGTGCGTCCTGGGACTATCACTCTTGTAGCAAACGAGAGCTTTTCCAGAAGATACTTGAGTTGACATTGGGTAGTTGAAGCCATGTGGAGAGTGGCCCGTAGGAGGTCGTGAAGCTTGGCAAGTTCGTCCATCGGCAGACTTTATGTGAGTGCGCGGGTGTCCAGGATGACGCCGATAAACGTCAGGACGTGAGCTGGACCCTCCACTTTTTCTGACGCCAGAGAAACACCGAGGTATGTAAACGCGCGGCGCCGAGTAGCGAGTTGCTGGCAAGCTAACACAGGTCCAGAGCACACATCGAAAAAGCACTTCAAGTTGCTGACGCCAGAGAAACACCGAGGTATGTAAACGCACGACGCCGAGTAGCGAGTTGCTGGCGAGCTAACACAAGTCCCGAGCATGCATGGAGACAGAAACATTAGTCGAGGTATTTCCCGCCAATAACGTCAGGACTTGAGCTGGACCCTCCACTTTTGCTGGGGCCAGAGAAACACCGAGGTATGTAAACGCTCGGAGCAGAATAGCGAGTTGCTGGCGAGCTAACACAAGTCCAGAGCATGCATTGAGGAAGTAACGTTGAGGTATTCCCCGTAATGCAACAGGCGTGGGAGTGCGAACTGCCCGCACACAATCTATTCACTGGTGGATGTGACAGAGTTCCATGTAGCTGGCCTGGAGCATATTACAGTCTGAAGGGCAGGACGCTCTCATAACAGTATTGATCCTGCCAGCGGATCAACAAGGGCCACTCCTCCGGGCAGACGGGAACTCGGCAGAATGCACTTTTAACATTGAGCTTAGCAAGATACAGCGGGGCGAGCAATTGTCTAATCATGTTTGCAGCATTGTCATCTTGACATTGTGGAGAGATACGGCCTGCTGGAATGTAATCGTTGACACTTCGACCCTCCAGGCTTTACAAATGGTGTGTCATTTTGCAAGACGCCCGAGATCGCTTACCTCTGGCATTGCTCGTAAAGCTCAGATCACAGTTGCCTCATCTCCAGCTCAACGCTCAGAGTATCCAGCGCATTGTGGAGATTTACAAGTACTGTACGCATTGTCGTCATTCAAAATAAAATCTTGCAAAGCACGACGACTGATTTGAAGCACACAGGTAGTTTTTCAGCCCACCCGAAGTACTACAGAGATGGCTACCGTAACGATCAACTTCCCTTTAGAAAATATCCAGGCAGCGGGGAGGAATAGAGATGAGCTTGCCAAAGGGAGAGAGTCGATCTTGAGCAAGCATATTTGTGACCAGCGCCGAGAGCAGCGACGCGCAGGACAAAAAAAGTATGAACCCTTCTTTGGTCAATAAATTCCTCATGGCTAGATGTCATTCTATACGTTACCTTCCATCGCGGCAATTATTATTACCTCAAGTGCAAGCATTGTTGTCCAAAGTCTAAGTTCAAATTGTCGAAATATAAGCGACAATATTGATAACGCGGACCAAGTCCCCCCCCCCCCTTCTATCATCCCTTACACCGAACCAGACTTCAAAAATCAAGGCCATAACTGCAAGGATTGGCGTGAGCAGGCTCGAACAGTCTCTCGGTCGAACTTCGATCCATTGGCGAGAAGAAGCGGTTGCGTGATGCATCGCCCTCGCAAGACCTCCTTATTCTCCCAGTTGCCTAAACCGCTTTTTGTACTGTGCCAAAGGTGATATGCGGTGTGGTGAGTGAGTGAGTGAGTTGACGGAGTTTACGCCCCAAGGGTCCCTCGCACTGTTACTTGCTAAGCCGTGCTGTCTGCCTAACTCACATCTGGGTAGCAGTATCACCAGACCGGTGGATTCTCCCCCCCCCCCCCCCCCGGAACGATCATGCGGTTTTTTTTTTGCGTAAGGTCGCACTCGATACTCGCTAACACTGCACAAAGGGCCTATCGGGTAATGGGAAGGCTTTCTGCTCACCGGTTATCTTTCGAAAACAACTGTGGACGCCCACACCCACACCTCTCATCAAGGTGTCAACGACCGAGAACAAAGCAACCTGGAAACCGTGGCCCTATCAGGGGCTATCCGGCAATATCGATAGTCTTCACAAAATGAAGAAAAAAAGAATTTTAGTTAGGACCCTCCGTCTACCACCCACCCCCTGAACGAAAAATAGATTGACTTGGCAACAAGAACGCCTTGGTGTCTCACATATCAATATTATTGAAAACGAAACGCCCCTTGACCCACCAATAAAAGAAATTTTTCCTTCGCGTAAAAGATCGATAATTACGGACGGACCCTTTATTTTGCTGCGTTATTAAAATTATTTCCCAAAGAAGTGAAAGGTAGCACAAATCCAACAACATTTTGCAATTCTAGGAGTTGTGGAGGGGGGAGGGGGGGGGCAGGGAGAAACTCTTTCCTTCTGTGCAAATCATTGGTATTGCCAGATTACCCCTAGAGATGGTCTTTTAAATTCAAGATGGTGTATAAAACATCCTTGGCTTAATTTCAGTGTATTCCCATGCATTGTTCTTTTGCCTTTGTACGCGTGCTGTGGTATTATTATTATTATTATTATTAGTAGTACTTGAAGTATTAGTACTAGGCAGTACCAAATGACTGTATGGTAGGGTTGGTTGGTGCAATGGTTTGGATGGGGTAACAAGGAAGCAAAAAGGAAGAAGGAAAATATTATATTTAATGGTTTGAGGGGAAGAGGCAAATGGGAAAAGTCTGAAGAAAATATTGATTGTCATCACAAAGCGTATACAAAGCGTTTGCTTATGAAAACTGTGGACGACTTACCGAATTCACACACAACGTATAATTGGGCGTTCACCTCCTCTGCCATGCCCATGGGTCCCGCTTCCGAAGCCCTTGTGCGGAAAGCATATTTTCCGGGAGATGCTGTGTCAAGCCAGGCGACAGGATAGCCATCACCATATCCAGCATGGAGCAGTTCTGATGTACAGCCTTTATTGTATGTGTCTGGAGTAAGTAGTTTGCCCTCCTGACCGTGGCAAACTGCCTTGGCCGTTGTATAATTGAAGAACTTGCCGCGTGTCCGTTTGAGTACTGACTTAGTCGTAGGGCAGAATTGGTGACCGGTCAGTGTAGCTGAACATATACAAAAACAAATGAAATCATTTACTATACTTGGATGGTGAGCAAAATTAAATTTTGGTGAAAAAGGAGAGGGACAAAAATGATACGAGTTATGACTAACTGTCCAGCAACGTAACCAGATCATATACAGTCAACGAGTGCGGCGATTTACTACTATTAGTTTGCTTAAAAATGTATTAAAACGCCAACTAACAGTCTTTCGAAACTAACTGCACAGTACTGTGTGACTGCATGCAGTGGCTCTTGATGGACGCCACTTACACAAGTTAGCCGACGTTCGGTTTTTTCTTTGGTGACGGATATTATTCAGTTTAGGTGAGACCAAAATAAAATCGAGATTCCCGGGTCGGACCCATGTGAAATTGGTGCGGGCGGGCACATTTTTTACTTTTTAATTATTCCTATGTATGTATGCACGACATGTAATGCTGAACATTTTTCCAGTATTTTCCAGTATTTCTTACTTTTATATTCAATTTTTTTACAGACAACAGGTTTTCAGTATGAGGTTTACGCTTTCAATTTTTCTGTATTTCGTCTAACGATAACGATGGATCTGGTCTGTACATCAGGGAGTATTACACGCCCGGGTTTGTGTGACTCCATGTCACAGATCTACTCACACGATATCGCGATCAGTACGTACTGTACATGCATATTAACTGTTAAAAACCCAGCTTTTGCTCGATTTTGTTGCGGGAGGGGGGGGGGGGGCAGGAACCTATATTTTTTGATCTCGCCTAACTAAGAAATATTCACTGGTTTGAGGGAAAGACGAAGCAAACGAGAAAAGCCCGAAGAAAACCAGTCACCGCCAGGACTCCCAGGACTCGAACCAGGGACCCTCGCTTGTAGCCAGCGATTCTCTAACCCCTGAGCTGTGGTGTGAAAAAAGAAATATGGCTGGCATGGAAAACGTTACATTAGTAGAAGCCGACGCAAACCGGGGTCCACGGCACTTCATTTTTGCATGTGTGTGCATGTGTGTGTGTGTGCATGTGTGTGTGTGTGTGTGTGTGTGTGTGTGTGTGTGTGTGTGTGTGTGTGTGTGTGTGACCGGAGCCTGAACCTCCCTACCAGGCGCCACCTGTATGTCGCTTGCGTACTGTCAACGGTTCTGTATGGTTCAGAATGCTGGACGCCGTTGAAGGCAGATTTAGATAGAATGGACCGGTTTCACCATGCCAACATTCGCTCCATCCTTGGCGTATCGCGAGGCCGACAGTGGGAACAGCGCATCTCTTCACAGGAACTGCGAGCACAGTGGGGTGATCCCACACCATTGTCACGCATGGTGCAGCAGAGACGGTTGGAGTGGCTTGGGCACCTGGCTCGTCTTGATGACACCAGAGTACCGAAGCAGTTGCTGTTTGCCTGTCTCCCTCAGTCTCGGCCATTCTGTGGACCTCGTCGTCGCTGGAAGGACACCATTCACACGGACCTATCCGTGGCTGGAGTGCGTAACTGGTTTGAGTTAGCAAGCGATCGTGGGGAGTGGCGTGGAGTGGTGACAGCAGCAGGTGAGGACAAGGAACCCGCCCCGAAGAGCATCAAGTGCCCAACCTGCAACCGTCTGTTCCGCCGTAGTTCCGACATGGTCCGGCACAAGTGTTCAGCAATCCGTCAGCTCCCGGTATCGGAGCAGCCTGGATCAGTACAGTGTCCAACATGCAACCGATGGCTACGTAGCAGAGGAGGCTTTGCTGTGCATAAGTGTCGGCTAGGCGATGTCGACCAGCCGCCGGCCCCTGCCCCTGCTCCTCTTGTTGTTCCTGGTGTAACTTGCACCAACTGTCAGCGTTCATTTAAATCGGCTGCGGGTCTCAAGCGTCACCGTTGTGGAACCTGTCCAAAGCGCCCTACTGTGGCTGAACGCCAACAATTCAAGTTTCACTGCCAAGTTTGCCACAACCGACGGTTCCGGAGGCGGCAAGATCTGGAACGCCACTTGGAGCATTGCCTTCCTCCCCCCTAACCTCTCTGACAGTACCTCCCTTTGGGGAGCGGCGTGGCCATCTCTGGCAGCTGTCAATAGTAGTAGTAGTAGTAGTGTGTGTGTGTGTGTGTGTGTGTGTGTGGCCGTTTTGTGGTTCCCGGCGACGGTGGAAAGACACGGTGATGACCGACCTCAAGGTTGCACTGTAACAGCCATCTCAGTGGTTCATCCTTGCTCAGGACCGCCAACAGTGGAGGGAAGTACGGGTTGCCCCTCAGTCGAGCTCCGCCATGCCCAAGTCTGTGCATTGCGCAGTGTGTGACCGGAACTTCTCACGGGTCTCAGATAGGACGCGGCACAAGTGCACCACTCAGAGACGGCTTCCCATCCAGCTCCAGCGTGGATCAGTGCAATGCCAGAACTGCCAGAGGTGGTTCCGCAGCAAGGGTGGCTACTCTGTTCATCGATGCCAGCCTGTCACGAGTTCTCCTACACCAACAGTCAGTCTGTCTGTGCCACTTTCAGCTTGTTGCCAGCAGCACTGCCCAACATGTCAGCGATGCTTCCGTTCTGCGGCCGGGTTCAAGCGTCACAACTGCAATCGTGGTGCGAGACCATCTGCTGCTGAGAGAGCAGGTCTGCCCCTCAGCTGCCCACGTTGTAAACGCAATTTCCGCCGGCAGCAGGACCTAGCCAGACATTCGCGGTCCAGCTTGTGATCCGTGTCCCGTTTTCTGGTCCCCTTTCCATAGGGGTGACACTTGCCCCTCTGGGCAGTCATGCTGCTAGTAGTAGTAGTAGTAGTGTGTGTGTGTGCGTGTGTGTGTGTGCGCGCGCTTGTGGAAAAAGACAAAAAGATGTGCCCAGAAGCAACTCAACTGACCCGAAGTCTTGGCCTCAGCGTTGCTACTAGGCATCGAAAAGGGGGTGGGAGGGGGGGGGGGGGGAGCATGCACAAGAAGACTGTGAAACAAACAGAAGCTACAGAATACCACACCCATTTTCAAATGCTAATGTGCTTCTCTCTGGCCATATGTAGCGGCTCAGTAGCTTCCTTGTTCATAATTATAATGGCTTGTCTACTGTAACAATTATGACTTTGCTGGCCAAATAGCTGAGGCTGCAGTCAATTCACCATTCATCTCCTGTTAACAATGATCTTCTTTATTATATCGTATCGTAGTAAATGTACAGATAGGCGCACATGCCTATATTCAGATATAAGCTCAAGGCTTGCAAAGCATTAATTTTATTCAACTTTTCTATACCTCCCCGTGGTAAACAATCCGTGCCACCAGGCAATTGCACGAGCAGGCAGAAACTATTCTCCATCGCCCTAGGGTGGGAACATTCAGACTTCATTTACGGACTGGAAATCGTCTTGTACTGGCGGAAATGTCCGTCATTGGCAGCTCAAGCTTAACGACTAAAACAAGCTGATCATAACTTCGGTAATGGCTTGTGCTCTCCTGCTGTCGGATGCAATGGTCAATGGTCATGTTCGTGTCGTGAATCGATGGTTTCATGCAGTATGAGACAAGCAGAACATCGAAAAATCAAGTACGAAGACTAGCAAGCTCCAATTTTAACTTGGCAGACCAAGTATGATACCGGCAAACAACAACGACACAGGAGGAGACCCAGCATGATGGTAACACTGGATGTGGCCACAAACGATGAGTACAATGACGGAAACGACACTAACGGAGGAGATTCTAGCAGCGAGTTGAGTGAGGGAGAGAGCATGGGTACTATGGGAGAGTTTGAGACTGAGTGTGGGCATGTGTTTCGATCTCGTAAGTCTTCTGTGTATACTCATTTGGTATCTCGCCCTGAATGTTGCCCAGTGTATTCTGATTCTTCTTTCTCCGTTTTGTGCTGTGGACGTCATTGTTATCAGTTACAGGTGAAAGTGTCGGAGGCTGTTTTCCAACGCATTCACAAGCCTGACCTTTGTGTTCAAAAACAGAGTACTATCTATTTGAGGGGAAGGCGAGTGTAGTGTATGGCTGATGATACACTCAGGGACATTTCTTACATCATCATTATCGTATTGACGTCACACCATGCGCAGATCATTTTAGTATGTCTGCCTTTTGTATTGACACACGTGTCTCCTTGTTCTTGTTCCGTTGACATAATTTACTTGCAATTGTAGTTGGGCTTCTTCTAATCTCCATGTAATCGATCATAGAATAAACCGAACCCCGTCTCTAGCTGAGACACTACTATTGGCGACGAAGATGGCCGTGGCCATATGAGCCATCGAGCCGTTTGCTGCAGGTACGACAGATTGGTCTACCTATTATGATCGCGTGGAAAAAATTTTGAGGCAAACAGCGTTGCGGAAAACAAACAAGTAGCAACTTTCCTGACGCTGATCGGAGGAACAACATACAAGCTGTTGGCTGACTTGGTCAGCCCAAACAAACCAAAAGACAAGACGCTCAAGGATTTGTCAGACGCCCTGGCCGAACATTTCGCGCCCAAGCCTCTTGTGATCGCGGAACGATACCGTTTCCACAAAAGAGAGAGTCCGCTTACCTTGCAGAGTTGCGACGGTTGGCCAGATACTGTGAGTTTGGCGATGTCTTGGACACTACGTTGCGTGATCGTTTCGTGTGCGGAATACGGAGCCAAGCTCTTTGTAAAGTACTGCTGGCGGAAAAAAATCTCACCCTGAAAACTGCGATAGAGAAGGCCAGTAGTCTGGAAGTGGCAACGCGCGATGCCTCGGAGCTCGCAGGAAGTGTACCCGCTGCTGGGGTACATGTTGTGGAAAGGCCACAACATCGTCGTGCATCTGCTGGCAAGCAAAGTCAAAGTCAATCCAGTGTGCACCAATCGTCCTGTTTCCGCTGCAGATCAGAAGCACACCACCCAAGTGAGTGCCCATACAAGTCCTATGAGTGTCGACACTGCAGGAAAACGGGTCACCTTCGTAAGGTTTGTAAACAGCGTTTCGCAGGAAAGTCGAAGTATGCAGCGAAAGGAAGTCCGAGTGGCCGCGGTGCGTGCCATAACTTACCTGTCTCAGATGATGATGATTTCGACTTTGATGATGACTTCGACACGCTTGCAATTTTGACAGCCGATGTCTTGCAAGCACCAGCAGCAGCTGAGGATCAGTCACCTACATCCAGTGTACGGAAAGCCCTGTGGATCGATGCAACTGTGAATGGCCAGTCCATACGCATGCAGATTGACACAGGACCTGCAGTGTCTATTATCACCACTCACATCTATAAGAAGTTGCTGTCCAGTACCTCGCCACTTACCCAGAGTAAGTTGAAGTTGCGAACATACACTGGAGAACCAGTACGGCCTCGCGGAACGTTTGAGGCGCTCGTGGAGTACAACCACCAGTCGGCAGAGTTGCCGATTCATGTAGTAGACACATCGGGTCCTCCGCTATGTGGCCGAGATCTGCTGGCCCATATTGCTCTTGACATGGCATCGTTAATTCCAGGTCGAGACCGAGGAGCCCCCCCAGTGTAACTGCGTCCTCTAGCTCGCTGGCCACAGGACCAGCCGGTATGCGCCTAGAGCAGCTGAAGGAGAAATTGATCTTGAAATTGATCTTGATCTCGTAACTCATACTGTCCAGGAAATACGAAATACAAAATGTAAGAAATAATAAGTAATTAGTGGCCTATACTACAGGGAGAAATCTTGATAATTTACCCATCGCTACAGTTTAGCGTTTTGTGCCAGCTTACTTTCGCGATTTTTAGGCACCCAAGATGCCAGAGGGCGTATCTGCTCACTGTGAGACAGATGAATCCCGGGACATACCACCCTGGGGCTTAATTTACAAGTCCGAGGAGAGGGCAACTTTGTCTAATTGTTGGTGTTTATTTTAGAACAAAGAGGAAGAAAGGTTTTATCCACATGCGTATGTAGTGAGGGAACTGACGCCATGCAGCGAGGTCGCTACAGTACCCCCCCACCGCGAAACAAGCGAGCGCAGAGAACGAAAGAAAAAAAAAAGGAAATATAAAGAGCCCTGCATGTGGCGTACCACTATTTTTAACGTGGCAACAAAGGCCGTGAAGAGAGGAATAAAATGCAGGAAGCAGAAAAGAGATGCGTAACAGAGGCAGGTTAACATGTCAGAGGTGGATTAACGTGACAGACGTGGAGAGCATCTCAGAGGCAGAAAGAGAGAGAAAAAAATTCTATGCAAACTGTGAAGGCAGAGGCAAAGACACGTAGTGATCAGTTGCAGGAAAACTTGCCGTTGAACAGCCCATGTAGGTATATCAATGTGGCGAGGTGGCGACTGCGTAGTCGGCAGCCAATCCAGGTACGGAACAACATGACAGCAATACAATTGTGTAGTAGTAGCAGCAGTGCTGGCTCCACGATTGGGGAGGCTTTGCGGGTGGGAGGGGGCCAAGCTCCAGCTTGTGGCCGGCGTACACTGGACGGTGGTTTGAGGGTGGTTGCTCCACAGCAGCTCCGAGTCCAGGCGAAGAGGTGCAGATGTTGAGGCTCAAGTTTAATGTCAACCGCTGGTGATTGACAAGCAGTCAGAATGTGGTGAACGCAGGAATGGACTGCAGTGAAAACCAGTAATGGCTGGCAGGCTAACGGGCGAAAACAGCAGCAGTATGATGACGGATGTGGCGGCGGCAAGAGGGCGAAGTCCACAGCAGCTCCAGGTCTGCCGAGGGCGGGTGGGCGACGAGAGGCACCACAAATCCCAAATCCGAAAAAAAGTCATATCTACAAATACTCCGCAAGCGCAGCGTCGGGGTCACCAATTTAGGCATCCAAGATGGCAGAGGTCGTATCTGCTCACAGGGAGACAGATGAATCCCGGGATATACCACCCTGAGGCCTAATAATTTACAAGTCCGAGGAGAGGGCAACTTTGTCTAATTGTTGGTGGATATTTTTAGAACAAAGAGGAAGAAATGCTTCATGCGCATGCGTATGTAGTGAGGGAGGTGACGTCTTGCAGCAAGGTCGCTACAATTTCACACCCATTTTGAGAATAACAAACGTTTCAGAACCGCACAAGTTTCTGGGTTTGCAGTAGAAAACTGGCGTATGATAATGTTGTAGTTACACTATAGCCTGAGAGCTGTGCTATTATTCATGATCCGCAGCAGGAAGGCAGAAATCATTATACTCATGGTCAGGTCAAATTAAGATGGCATAGTGTAACAACACGAATTAGTGATGGCGTCTCTGGTTCTGCATGTCTGAGACATAAATTTTCTTATCTTGTAATGGGGTTTGATGTTATGTCACACACTTCACTTATTGGTCAGTTTCACTTACGCAATTCACAAATGACGTGGTTTGATTCGTACACGTGATCAGCGGAGGACTTTAATGGTCCGGTGACGTATGCAACCTTGTCTTCTTTTCCTTGCTCAAACTGGTTGATCCAGGCAGGGTGTTTGGCACCAGGGAACTGTGTGCATCCTTTCGTGAACGCCTTTGCACTCAATAGTGTACCATTGTGTGCATTGCATATAACACGGCCACTTGTAAAGTTGAAAGTCTTGGAACTGGGTGTCCACTTCAGAACTGCATTAATCTGAGAACAGTAGCTGTGTCCGGTTAGAGCGGAATCTGGGCAGAAGGACAGGAAACAGATGACAATGCTCTCATGTACTGTTCTTTGGATTTGTTTTACTGTGGTACTGATCGCGTTTGGATCAGTACTACGGCAAAACTTGGTGTAATCGACCTTTGGGTGTAGCGACCACCTGCTCTTAACGACTGTTTCCCCATGCATGGACATTTCTACACAGACAGTGTGGGACCTGGTTCTAAAGACCGCCAGGCTTTAACGACCGCTTTTGCTAGCAACGTGGGGTGGTCGGTTAACACAGGGTTTAAATGAGCGTTAGTATGCTAACACGAGTTAGCAGCCAGCCCAGCGAGCTGGAGCAACCTGCACGCATGCGCGAGTCACGTGGGCACGCGCCCTTCAAAGTCCTGTACAATGTCTCTTGCATGTCATTGCTGTTCGGACTATCGAGCGTGCAACTTGCGGAACATTTGTTCCCAAACAATTTCCTAAGTGCATTCTGCCGAATTCCCGTCTGCCCGGAGGAGTGGCCCGTGTTGATCCGCTGGCAGGATCAATACTGTTATGAGAGCGTCCTGCCTTTCAGACTGTACTACGCTCTAGGCCATCTATATGGAACTCTGTCGCATCCGCCAGAGAATGGATTGTGTGCGGGCAGTCCGCACTCCCACGCCTGTTGCATTACGGGGAATACCTCGACTAACGTTTCTGTCTCCATGCATGCTCTGGACTTGTGTTAGCTCGCCAGCAACTCGCTACTCGGCGCCGCGCGTTTACATACCTCGGTGTTTCTCTGGCGTCAGCAAAAGTGGAGGGTCCAGCTCACGTCCTGACGTTTATCGGCGTCATCCTGGACACCCGCGTGCTCACATCAGTCTGCCGATGGACGAATTTGCCAAGCTTCACGACCTCCTACGGGCCACTCTCCACACAGCTTCAACTATCCAATGTCAACTCGAGTATCTTCTGGGAAAGCTCTCGTTTGCTACAAGAGTGATAGTCCCAGGATGCACATTGCAGATTGTGGTCACTTGCCAACTGGTGCCGGCAGCCGTATTACCTGATCAAGCTCTTCGAAGAGTGCCTCAAATATCTTCGCTGATGGCCTGAGCTCCTGGAATAATAGAACGGCGGGTCCTTCTTCCTACACCCTATGTGGACGCCGTCCCCCAACTTGCTGCTATTCACTGATGCAAGCTGTGCACTTGGCTGGCGCGCAAACAATTGCGACTGGGGATAGGGCGATGGACAGTCAATCAAGCAGACCGGCCAATCGCAAAGAGTGGTTTGCAATTGTGGCAGCACCTGGGAAAGCTAGTGGCACCAGCTGCGGATGCCAATCGATCGGCTTTACAGCAACTGCGAAAATCTTTCTCATCAGTTGTGGCTATGGCCTGGCGTTATACACCGGCCACTCGTTTCGAATCAGTTGCCGGACTCGATATTTAAAGAGGCGGGAAGGTGGAAAGCGATGTCTGCCCGAGTAAGATTCAGACACCACCTGCAGCCAAAGCATGGGTGGCGTTGGCAATGGCCTCAGCCCATGATATCGAGTTTCTATTAGTCAATCGTTACCGAGCTTGCACTGCTTACAAATTTCACAGGAAGTTGCACTTTGTAATCCGCTCTGGGAGAGCCGATTTATGGAAATATGCTCTCAACTGGTTATGCATCTCTCTCTCTCTCTATATATATATATATATATGAAAAGTTGCCTGACGATTGAAAAACTCAAGAAACTCGGAGTAGCAACGGATTGTGTTTTCTTGGTGAGGACCGCTTCCATTGTGTACTAGCTCCAGTGCACCCCAGCGCTGTTGAGCCCTCTTTGCGGTGGACGGGACCACTTCCCCCTGTTTATATATATATATATATATATATATATATATATATATATATATATATATATATATATATACACACAACAACAAGGTTGTCAATTTCATAATACTAAAAGCTTTTCACCCATTTTCATCAGTAGATACATGAGAATGAGCAAGAACGAAAACGAAGCCAGAATTTATACTGGGGGTAGGAATCAGCAAGAATATTCTTACGCGCCTCAAATTCACACTACACTACCATAAGAATGTATGGAGCGGTGGAAAAATGCGGGAAACAACACATGAGGGGAATGCAGTACCAGAACAAACACGTGATAAAGCTGTCAGTCCGGTTGCAGCTTGAACAGCCGTAGCACCTTGATGTGCTTCTTTTGTCGACACAGCTCTGGCCTCAAGCTACGAATGTACAGCGCCTCCAGTGTGAATCTGTGCGCGCTGTTCCGGGCTGGTGTGATGACACTGAAGCTGCTGTTGCGTTCTTGCGGGATGCATTCAGGTTGCGCCTGCAAATGCTTTGTGATGGCGCTATCACTTGTTGCCACACGTTTGTCAGGCGGCTTCTTGTACAGCTTGTCTGGGATATGCTGCTTGATCCTTTCCGAGAATCGCTGACATGTCTCACCAACGTACGTTCGCTCACAGCGACACGCATACTTATAAACAAAATTACTATTTTCAAGAGTTGGTGAAACATCCTTCGCGATAGACCTGAATGCGGGCCTGGTTGTATAAATTACAATGGGGGATACTGTAGGATAGCAGTTCAAAATTGCAGCTTTAATCTTTTTGCGGAAGGCAATGCAATTTTGCCCTTTCCACGGCAATTTTGTGATAATACGCGTTGCAGATTCAAGTTGAGCAGAAGCTGTATCTGGGCTAGGTTCAAGAACGCTTGTCATGACTCGCTTGAGTACTTTGAGTGGGTAACCGTTAGAACACAGAATATCCTCTAGCTTAGCAATTTCAGCTGATAATAGTGATGGTGAGCAGATGTTTTTAGCTCTGAAAGTTAATGATCTGATCAAATTGATTTTGTTTCTAGTGTCACAAAACGAGTCCCAGCGGGTGTAAAGACCTGTGAACGTCGGCTTTCTATATACTGTGGTGAGCAATTCTGTGGAAGAATGCTTAATCAATACATCAAGAAACGGCAATTCTCCATTATTCTCCTCCTCCATTGTAAACTGGAGAGCTGGGTGAAGATTATTTACAAGCTGTACAAGAAGCCGCCTGACAAACGTGTGGCAACAAGTGATAGCGCCATCACAAAGCATTTGCAGGCGCAACCTGAATGCATCCCGCAAGAACGCAACAGCAGCTTCAGTGTCATCACACCAGCCCGGAACAGCGCGCACAGATTCACACTGGAGGCGCTGTACATTCGTAGCTTGAGGCCAGAGCTGTGTCGACAAAAGAAGCACATCAAGGTGCTACGGCTGTTCAAGCTGCAACCGGACTGACAGCTTTATCACGTGTTTGTTCTGGTACTGCATTCCCCTCATGTGTTGTTTCCCGCATTTTTCCACCGCTCCATACATTCTTATGGTAGTGTAGTGTGAATTTGAGGCGCGTAAGAATATTCTTGCTGATTCCTACCCCCAGTATAAATTCTGGCTTCGTTTTCGTTCTTGCTCATTCCCATGTATCTACTGATGAAAATGGAAGAAAAGCTTTTAGTATTATGAAATTGACAACCTTGTTGTTGTGTGTATATAAATTTTGTTCGCCTACATCTCTATTTCTATATATATATATATATACAATCCAGTATAGTCCTCACCAAGTACACATTCTTTCTGTTGCTACTCAGAGTTTCTTGAACAATCAATCATCAGGCAACAAACAACTAAAGCTGGGCATGCAAAAACAATGCTAGATATACCCATCACGCAGCAAGCGCGGACACAAAAGTGTCAAGCGCAAAGTGTCACGCACAAAGTGTCAGGCGCAAAGTAACTTAGTTAGAAAGACAAGTGTTAGAAAGCAGCGCAGTTGTCAGTATGCTTTTCAAGTGGCAAGCTTGTGAGTGTGGGCTTTGTGTACAGTTGTAGTATCCCTGCCCGACCAATACGGAAGCAGTACGGAACTAATACGGAGCTTTGCCTGATGTATATTTAGTGCATCTCCGTATGTAAGCGTACGGCAGCTGCTGCATAAAAGCGGCTGCGCATTTCTGTTTTGATGAAAAAGATTAGATTAGATTAGATTGGATAGCAATGAAAGCTAACTCGAAGAATAAGGATTCAGCCTCTAGGTGAGCACCGGAGAGAAAGTCAGTTATTTTGCCGCTTCTTCTTTCACGAACGATTATATCTCAGGTGTGTACCTGAAAGTAGAATAAAAGTAATTATTGTTGATTTCACCGCGCCTACCACTCGGCTACCTATTACATTGGTGGCAGCGGTGTGTTTTTGTAAAATAAAACAACGTGATTCGACCCCAGACCCCCATGGCTACCCATTACATTGGTGGCAGCGGTGTGTTTTTGTAAAATAAAACAACGTGATTCGACCCCAGACCCCCATGGCTACCCATTACATTGGTGGCAGCGGTGTAGTTTTAAATAAAACAACGTGATTCGACCCCAGACTCCAATGGCTCAACTCGCTACAGCTCCGTGCGACGAATCAAGATGAGAATCATGTTTCTTGCCTTCCTCGGCCTGGCACTGCTTATTAGCCTGCAGCTCAGTCAGGGTGCTAGCGTGGATCACCCTTCCCTCCGCATGGCGTCCACTGGAGACTCCAATGGCGATTCCAAGCGACCCGCTACCTACACGTATACTACCGGTGGTGATGGCGAAGCTGATGAGGAGGACGACATGCAGGCTGCTGACCAAGACAAGGAGGGTATTCCCCAAGACCAGCAGCGTTTGATTTTCGCCGGCACGCCGTTGGCAGACGGCCGAACCCTGAGTGACTACAACGTTCAGCAGGAGTCCACTATTCACTTGGTACTTCGTCTCCGTGGTGGGATGCAGATTTTCGTCAACACTCTTCCTGGCTAGACCATCACTCTTTACGTCGCGCAAAGAGATGCTATCGACAATGTGAAGACCACGATTCAAGACGAGGAGGGAGGTCATTTGTCTGACGCCGAGCTAGCCGCTCTGAGTGACCGGCTCAACCAAGATGAAGATAACACCTGGCTTGCTCTCCGCCGTAGCTCCAGCCGCCGCCGTGGTTACTAACGCTGATTCCAGGTATGGCATTTTCTTTCCTGTCTTCCTTCAGTCTACCTGTTCTCTTCAGTCTTCCTTTATGCGAGTGTGTGAATCCAGTTTAGTTTGGTAGGCGTCTGATCATGGTGAGCCACGGCTTACCCAGCTAACGTGGGACAATGTGTGTGACAACGCCCCTTATAGTTATAGTGTATTCAGTTGGGTTTTTGAACTGCGATGTTCCTGGCGGGTTGTGCCAGCGTTGTGCAGCAAGAGTGCTGTAGTTTTTCAGGTCCTATTTGGAGGACAGTTCTTTCCCCTTTTGACCCCGTGAGATCGTGTGAACCTGGTGTGCTTCTACTTTATGATTTGTTATCAGTTCATTTCTTCTGTCTACTCTAAACGTTATCATTTCCGATATAATTTGCCATCTTCCGGTTGACGTTGTGTTTGTAACTCTTCACTAATTTTTTGAAAATCACGAGGGCGTGATTATCTGTAGGAAGGGAGGGTGTAGTATCCCTGCCCGACCAATACGGAAGCAGTACGGAACTAATACGGAGCTTTGCCTGATGTATATTTAGTGCATCTCCGTATGTAAGCGTACGGCAGCTGCTGCATAAAAGCGGCTGCGCATTTCTGTTTTGATGAAAAAGATTAGATTAGATTAGATTGGATAGCAATGAAAGCTAACTCGAAGAATAAGGATTCAGCCTCTAGGTGAGCACCGGAGAGAAAGTCAGTTATTTTGCCGCTTCTTCTTTCACGAACGATTATATCTCAGGTGTGTACCTGAAAGTAGAATAAAAGTAATTATTGTTGATTTCACCGCGCCTACCACTCGGCTACCTATTACACAGTGACAATCGTATTCGCGCAATTTTGATGGAAGTGTCCGTTACAAGTGAGGTGGGTTGTCACGTCCGTTGTCCGGAGTGCAGCGTGCTATCCTCGCTTGTTATGTGACCCCGGTGAAGTTGGCTAGGCGATACTTGTTAGCGTGGGGGCATTTTGCGATGACTTCGCTTCTCTTGTTGAGCATAGTCTCATCGCCAAGGAGAATCCATGTTTTCTCAGCTGTGCACAGGTTACATCTTTTTGTGGCGGTGCTGTAGGAGTTGGCCTTTTCCTTTATCTGCCATCTGAGCTGGTAGTCCTGGTGGTTTGGGGGGGGGGGGTCCACCATTCAGCCGCAACGTGCAAACGAATGTGGCTGCGACCTTCCTGAAGCTGATTGATCGCCATTTCAAGAACACCCCGCTCGCAAAACTGTTCAACCGCAACAATTTAAAGTCAGCTATTGCTGCATGCCAAACGTCGCAGCCTCTATCAGCAGTCACAACAAGCGCCTCCTGACCAAAGCTACACCCGAAAAGCCATGTAACTGCAGAAAAAAGAACGAATGCCCACTGGAAGGCCGCTGCCTGGCGTCACACATTATATACGAGGCACATGTCACCAGCCAGGATGAGCAAAGATTGTACATTGGCTGTGCAGACACGGAATTCAAAGCCAGATACAACAACCACACCACGTCGTTCCGACATGAGAGATACCGCACTAGCACCGAGCTGTCGAAACACCTCTGGGAGAAGAAACAAAACCACCAGGACTACCAGCTCAGATGGCAGATAAAGGAAAAGGCCAACTCCTACAACACCGCCACAAAAAGATGTAACCTGTGCACAGCTGAGAAAACATGGATTCTCCTTGGCGATGAGACCATGCTCAACAAGAGAAGCGAAGTCATCGCAAAATGCCGCCACGCTAACAAGTATCGCCTAGCCAACCTCACCGGGGTCATATAACAAGCGAGGATAGCACGCTGCACTCCGGACAACGGACGTGACAACCCACCTCACTTGTAACGGACACTTCCATCAAAATTGCGCGAATACGATTGTCACTGTACACAAAGCCCACACTCACAAGCTTGCCACTTGAAAAGCATACTGACAACTGCGCTGCTTTCTAACACTTGTCTTTCTAACTAAGTTACTTTGCGCCTGACACTTTGTGCGTGACACTTTGCGCTTGACACTTTTGTGTCCGCGCTTGCTGCGTGATGGGTATATCTAGCATTGTTTTTGCATGCCCAGCTTTAGTTGTTTGTTGCCTGATGATTGATTGTTCAAGAAACTCTGAGTAGCAACAGAAAGAATGTGTACTTGGTGAGGACTATACTGGATTGTGAATCAGCTCCAGTGCTTTTGCAGCACTGTCGAGCAATCTTCGCATTGACAGGGATCTCCTCCTCTCTTATATATATATATATATATATATATATAAATAGAGACGTAGGCGAACAAAATTTGTATACACACAACAACAAGGTTGTCAGTTTCATAACACTAAAAGCTTTTCACCCATTTTCATCAGTAGATACATGGGAATGAGCAAGAACGAAAACGAAGCCAGAATTTATACTGGGGGTAGAGAATCAGCAAGAATATTCTTACGCGCCTCAAGTTCACACTACACTACCATAAGAATGTATGGAGCAGTGGAAAAATGCGGGAAACAACACATGAGGGGAATGCAGTACCAGAACAAACACGTGATAAAGTTGTCAGTCCGGTTGCAGCTTGAACAGCCGCAGCACCTTGATGTGCTTCTTTTACAAGAAGCCGCCTGACAAACGTGTGGCAACAAGTGATAGCGCCATCACAAAGCATTTGCAGGCGCAACCTGAATATATATATATATATATATATATAGAACAATAGAAGTATTTCTTGCGTCGGCAAAAAGTGCTCAATGTCCTAAGACAGAGCGGGGTTATACACTCAGACACAAAGGATCTCCAAGTTTCTCACTGTTGCTACTCTGAGTTTCGTGCAAAAGCACTCTTCAGGCAACTTACTCTTCTCTCACATCAGTATCCCTTTACATACCAGAAAAGACGAAAAGAAGCACCCTAGGTGGGAATCACAGGTGGGGAAAAGAAGCACGCTAGCCAGTTTAGGTGGGAATCACAGGTGAAGATAAATGTGGCAAGTGTGGTAGTGTGAGCAATCGCGCAGGCCGGGTGGTGTGCATAAAGTGAAGTGTGGCAGTAGGATGCATGCACATTCGATAGCAGGAGTTCTGTATATGTGTGACAGATAGCAAGCGCAGTCTACAGTTCAGGTCACCTCCGATAGGAGGTACTTGGTGCTGTGGCGACATTTTGTGACGTGACTTCTGTCATGGTTCAACTCAACAATAATAATAATAATATGCCTATCAAACAGAACTTACAGGCACAGTGAGGCGGCACAGAGGAAAGAGTTCCATTAGCCGTGCAAATTTGCACGGCATCACCCACTAAAACTAGAGTCTTGTTGCATGAAAAGGTAACGGTTTCCTGGAATTGAATTTCCGTCCGATCACTAAACCCATTGGAAATTGTAGGTACAGCACATTTCACAGCTGAACAAAGCATACGAAAAGAAAGAAAAGCAGCCCTTTAAAAGGTGTACAGCATTCCATGTCTGCTTCAAACAACAGATAGGAGGCATACAGCAAGAATTGATTCTTAGCCATCCTGTACACAGTGCCAAGAATGGATGCACGAGCGTGTGCAACTCTGGGATGTGTTGAACCTTTTGTTGACGCCACTGTTTCCGACAATCACCGTAGTCACACCGTACAACTCACACGCTGCGAGTAGTTTTTTGAAGGTTTTGCCTGTGCACATAGCGGGGCCATTTTGTTTACATTTGCTAACCTGGCCAATTTACTTGATTAATTTTCGGCCTCGAGTTTCACAGCTGAGGGCAATCAGAAACTTTTTTGGCGGTGCACCAAGGGCATGTACCTGTGAAATCAAACGCCATGGTTTTGTTACCTTTTGGAATCAGCTCGTCGCTGTGTCTTCTTGTTCACTTTCTCAAGTGAAGGGCCTGGTCCCTGTAGTCCTTCGCGTTTCTCGATAGTTGGTTGATCCTGCTCCACCTATTTCGCATCATCGTAGGGTCTCGCTGACTGTCTACGGAGATGGATCTTATCTCTGTGTGGAAAAAAAGTAGCGTTGTGGCGCTTGGTGATCCAGATGTGGAAAACACGGTGCAATACACCTTCAGCGAAGCGCTCGACAGCCACATAAAGGTTGCTGTCCACGAGTGAACATAAGAAGGTGGACGAGATATCGGGCAGGGGAATAGTTCAGCACAAACCCCAATGTTGAGACTCCCGGCACCCAGTCTAACTTGGTTGAACATCGTTTCAAGTCGTGTCCGGCTGGAGGAAAGTGCACAATGTACTTTTGACCTAAAAAGCCGTGCATGAAAAAAACTACTGGAGCGGGTGTGTTTTCGTTTTTAAATACACAAACACATGTTGAAGGTCGGTAGGCTGTTATGATGTTGCATATACTTTTCCCGTTTCCTCTGCTCCCGTCCACTCGAACCTTGGTCACCATGGCAACCAACTAAAACTCCTTACACAGCACTTTTCACCCTAGTGTGCATTTAGTTAGTGCGCAAATGTTTGCTTGCTAAGCTGGTTCTGTAGCATTGAACTGTGGGAAGTTATGACGAATCAGGGTGAACTACTTGTTGATGTTGCTCGAAATGAAACGATTACTAGCTAGGACAGCTCAGTGCTGAAGAAACAGAGCAAAACGTGTGTGTATTGCCCGTGGGTTTCATTTATGTATTTTGCACACAACGTTTATTGAGGAGTTCACGCGACGATTGGAAGAGGATGAAAATCTGGTGACGTACGCAATCTCATGTTTTTTTCCATTCTCCAACTGGTTGACCCAGGCAGAGTGGGTCGTAGCAAGCAACTTTGATGTGCATCCCGACATGAATGCACAAAACATTGTCACTGGTGTACTTAAAACGCTTGGGATCATTTGCCCATCTTGATGGCGCTTAACTTTCCCTCTTTGGAATTATCACTAATATCTATGAACCCTGCAAGTCGGAAGGCCGTTGGTTAGCGCTATCAAGCAGTGCTCAAGCTCACGTCCTTCACGGCACCCTGTGACTGACTGCTGGCTCTGCGAGATAAAGAAAGCGTTCAAGGGTGCTTTTTCTGCATGGGTTAACAGAGTCTGGCCCTGGGAGACCATGTCTGGCAGAAAGGTCGTTGTGTGGACTGGAGACCGCACATCAGTTGGTGAAGGATTGGTGTAGAGTGGTTTGCCCAGTGGTATTTCTTATATAGACTGAGCAATTCGGAGAAGGCGAGAGACTTTGTTGCATTGGGTAGTGTATGTTGTCCAGTTGCCAGGCATGCGGGGCGCAAGTAGGAAAGATAGAGCTGGTGTTTTTCTCTGATGGGATTAGTGAGCTATGGGTTCAGCCATGGCTCTGAGGGTAGCTAGCATGCCTCGGGAGTGGGAGACTGCATGTTGCCTACTGGAGCAAGTGAGCACTTTGTCCTTCCATGAGTGCCACAGGTTGTTTATGGTGATTGTTTCAGGATGTCACCTTCCTGTAGAAGTTGAGTACCTTCTATTTCGGCTTTTAAACTTATGATGCAGTATTTTGACTATTTGCAGTGTTTGTGTTATGTACCAACCATTGGTCAAACATCAACAAGTCATTATTGTTATTGGAAAAAGCCTTGGAAGAAGACCTGACTAAAATGAGAACAAGACGCTCTTGTGCGCATGCGCAATACATAGATAGTGAAGTAGTGCAGAGTAGTAACATTAGTACTACAGAGAGAGACACCACAATTCCTCCCCCTTCAAAAAAAACAAGCAAAAAAACAAAACAAAAATTTATCGTTCATGCACAAAGTAGCGTGATATTAAATGTCAGTAATCTACTTATCAAAAAGTATTCTTTCTAGACCAAAGAGTGGTATATTTGATAACATTTAATAACGATAGAAATTTTTACGATACTTCTCCAGACGTTTCGTTGTTCTGAACAACATCGTCAGTCTTTATCCACTGACGATGTTGTTCAGAACAACGAAACGTCTGGAGAAGTATCGTAAAAATTTCTATCGTTATTAAATGTTATCAAATATACCACTCTTTGGTCTAGAAAGAATACTTTTTGATATTACAATGAGAGTGAATAATCAACGGCTTGTCCACCAACTCTTTGACCTAGTAATCTACTTGTCTAGCGGGCTGGAGGGGACGACCAAGACACACACTACCAACGCTACTACAAGATGATGCCAAGCGGATTGGACTTTCCTTGTCAAGCAAAGTCGATCTGGAGGCGTTCCGTGCCCTTGCTGCTGACCGAAGCGGTTGGGTGGGCATCTGTGCCCGAGTGGTGTCGGCACCCTAGTTTTTGTCTTCTTGTTGCATATTTCTTCTTTTTCAGAACCTGTTGTGGTCTTTTGTATCTATTCAAAGTGGCTTATCAGAACATTTTTAGCTGGTTTGCATGAAATGCATGCCCATTAATGCAGCTGCAGGCCATGCTGATGTCTACGCGAACAAGCACATAATAATAATAATAATAATCTACTTGTGATACAGGTACTGACTGTATTAATAGATATCTATGTTCGCAGATGGGGTATATGTATATAATTATTATAACAAGGAACCGAGTGTATATAGAGATATATACACCAGTATGAAAACCGAGGCGAAGCCGAGGTTTTTATAACTGGTGTATATATCTCGATATACACGAGGTTCCTTTGTTATAATATATTTATAACTCTCCATATTCACCGTGTGTGACCTCCTAATGGCTTGTTCCTCACTGACAACTACTGCTAATTCCCCTTAGCGGTGTATATGGAGATATATACACCACTAAGGGAGAGCATGCCTAAGACTGTAAGTGTATATGGAGTGAGGTATAAACGGTAATAATCATGTCAACTACAATACACGGTGTTACAAGGTTAGAAATCATGTCAGTCAACATAATTAACAATCGATCTATCATAATGTCCCAACATTGAAAAAGTCCATCAGCGTGTCACAATCAGTCCACCAGTCTATCAGGCAATCTCTAGACTCACTGTGAAGCAATCAGTCTGCCAGGTGGATGTGACTGACGCGAAGAACGACGCACAGCGATCTCAACAGACTTACCACGGCTGGACGACTTAGTACTCTGATCTGTCTCAGGTAGTGTACCTTGCGTCAGAATCTGTTCAGATCCAGTCAGTTGCGCAGCACACTGTGGAGTTGGCACTTGTAGTCTTGACTCCTTGCTGCTGTTAGCTGGTTGACTTGACTCCTTGCTGCTGTTAGCTGGTTGACTTGACTCCTTGCTGCTGTTAGCTGGTTGACTTGACTCCTTGCTGCTGTTAGCTGGTTGACTTGACTCCTTGCTGCTGTTAGCTGGTTGACTTGACTCCTTGCTGCTGTTAGCTGGTTGACTTGACTCATTGCTGCTGTTAGCTGGTTGACTTGACTCCTTGCTGCTGTTAGCTGGTTTATTGACTCATTGCTGCTGTTAGCTGGTTGACTTGACTCCTTGCTGCTGTTAGCTGGTTGACTTGACTCATTGCTGCTGTTAGCTGGTGTAGACTCGCGACACTGTCCACTGAAACTTCCATTCACGTTGACAGAAGCATGGCGAGTATCCGGTAGTTGCGGTGGTTGTTCACCCTTGTCGGTAGCAAACATGCTAGCTGGCAGAGCGCATGGTCGGATCTGGTTACAGTGTCTCTTCCAAACACTGTCTCCAACTTGCACCTGGTAATTGTACGAACTCAGAGTTGACAACACAATACCAGGAATCCATTTGTTACCATGACGCCCAAAGTTCAAAACAAATACTGTCTGACCATTTGTGAACTCGGGTTGTTCATTTAGCGATTCTTCAAATTGCTCCACACTACGCTTGGAGGGGCGTAACACCACGTAACGGGTACGGGGTTGGCGGTTAAACATAAGCTCCGCTGGAGTTCTTCCATTGGCCAACAGTGTTGTGCGATGCGACAGTAAGAAACTGCACAACTTTGTGTTGAGTGTTTCATCACACCCATCCACAGTCATTAACTTCATCTTCCCTTTAAAATACCCAGCATATCGTTCAGCTAGCCCATTAGTAGCTGGGTGTCCAGGCGCTGTTTTAGTGTGATGAATGCCATTTTCACGCACAAAGCGTTGGAACGATTCGCTGGTGAACTGACTGCCATTATCAGACACCGAATGCTCGGGTACACCGAAATCGTAAACAAGTGCCGTAGTGCCTCAATGACGCCATTGGTCGTAGCATGAGTAATTGGGACGATATCTAAGAACTTGGTGTGAGCATCGATAATTACCAGAAACATTTTACCCAAGTAAGGTCCAGCAAAATCCAGGTGGATTCGACGCGATGGTCCTGAAGGCCAAGTCCAGGTTCCGCAAGATTTCGGTGGTGAGCAAGCATTTGCCCGGCAAATATCACACATTTTCACAGCTTCTTCCAATTGGTTGTCAAGATTTGGCCACCACAGGTATTTCCGCGCCACTCTTTTCATACGAACTATGCCCATGTGCTCTG